GAACCGGAACTCTGAAGATAGATAAATATACCATGTCCAAATTCCAGGCTTTTGAAGTACATCACACACACTCTCCACTTAACCTTACAGTGTATAATATATCCAATATTTCTCATCAAACTGTCCCAGTTCAGCTTCCTGTAAAATCACAGCTCTTCAGCATCTGTTGTAAAGTCTTTTCTTTTTCTTCCCCAGAGAAAATGATTGTCTAAGGTGAAAATAATCTTATTTGCTGTAATCAGAATGTGAAATCAGAAATGAGAGCAGACGTATACTACCGAATAAAATCCTTCACATTGTTCCTGTAATGATGTGTTTTTGGATGAGCTCCGTTTATAACCAAGTAATTTGCTATCAATGCTTCATTGTAATTTACTCTCTAAAGAATTCATCATGTCATAAACTTCAGTAGGTACAAGATCAGTTTGTTCTAATTTTAAGATCGTATCATAAGAAACATTTAGCACATTGTGAAATAAATTCAAGTAGCATTTAATCACGGCAAGTCTCTCTGTCATGCCCATCTTTGTCATCCTTAACAGACTTAAAAACTGCAACTGGGCAATTCTCAGCTAATGTAAAAAGTAACATCTAATAGCTTTCAACTGCAAGTCAGACAGATAATCATCTTGTGGGGACGTGCCTCAACGTTTCTGTGCATTGAAGGTTGACAAAATGATACAGCTTCCGTAATTCTGAAACTCGTGGCAGCCAAGGAGAAGTGATTGAAAACTTTGGTTACACAGACCTCAAGATCAAATGATTGTTTGATCAAACGCTTCTTTATAAAATACTGCAGTGTTTTACAGGAGATGAGGATGCTTATTTTGCTTCCAGCTAATTGCCCAGCTCATTTTCCATTAATTTATAGATAGCAATGCCTGTGAACGCTAACATTAGTCTTATTAGCTGCATGTGAATAACAAAGTTCAGATCATCTGACTTTTTTCAATACTTCTTCCCATTTCAGATATTGTCCAACAGTTTCACTGGTACCTTGCACTAACAAGAAAACAGATTTTCTTCATTACAGCACGGCAGAGAGGCAAATGACTATCAAGCACACTGTTATTTCTGTGGTTTGAAAGTTGGTGCGTGTGGAGTAATACTAATGCAAATTGTCTAGAGTTATTCAAACTTTTTTTTTTCACTTTTAGTTGTTATTTTCTGTTCATAATTTCAGCGACTTTTTTGAGAGAACAAATTTCCTGGTTGAATGAATGGATGGAATTTGATCTCAAGCAAAGTGAGCAGAAGACAGAAAGATTCCTCATTTTGCTTTTTACATCCAAGGGCTGGAGATAAAATTGAGGTTGTGTACACAAGGCTTTTACCCCAGCAGGGAGCTGGGCCAACAGCATTCCCTCTGGTTATAGGTGGAGAAGCAAGAAATGGGGTGCAGGGGACCTTCACAGTGCTTTGCTCTGCTGGATTCGGGATGTAGAGCTGACATGAGTTTGCTCACATTCCTGATCTTTCAGGAAAATGACACCTGAGTTGTACCCAGCTTCAAAGTTCTGCATTATGCACACCTAAGCAGATTCGTGGTTTTGTGTTTTCTCTTGACTTTTCTCTTGCAGCTGGTAAAAAAAAAAATAAATATCAAAGGATAGTAAAAGGAAACTGCAAGCAGGCAATTCTGTCAGCCCGAAGTGTTCAAAACAGGGCAAACTGGATTTAGGGAAGGATGCAAAATGGGAGCAAATGTGATAATTGTAAGACCTGTACGAGAGAGGCAGGGAAACCCCTTGGGTGCAAGAGTAAAGTCATCATCACATTATGTGAGTATTCTGTTGTGACTGCTCTCTGATATGAGATAGAGTGAAAAGTGGTAGGATATTTTTTCCTTTAATTTACTGGAAATTACAGTGGCTGAGTTTTGCTTTAACATATTTTTTATCTGCTTTGTTTAGAGTGTGCTCTGAACAGGGCTTTCTGTTCTTGTACTTCTGTAGATTTTGCTCCTTGCTCCTCTTATTTTATTTTTAATTTGCTCCTAGAGGTTTGACTGAAAAGCAGCCATAACATTTCTGATACACATTCCTTTAAAGCCAGGGATGGTGGAACTTGAAAACGTGTCAGGGTCACCCAAGACGATGTGCACATGAGAACTAAGCCAGGCTTTTCTTCCAGCCCTCCTGGATGTTACCAGATGGGCAGCCTGGAACCCCAGAGCTCTTTCAGCACCAAACCCATTCCCTCTGCTGGCTTTCTGTCCTGTTGGCTATCGGAGGATCCCACTGCTTGAAAACTAGCATCTGAAATGGCTTCATTGGTGAATAAGCAGCACTCTGGTCAGCTGAGAGCCAGGCTGCTGTGCTTATGGAAGATGAGGAAGGTGGGTGACTCACATTCAGATGGAAGGTGACCTCAGGGCCAGCCCTCACCGCACAGTGAAATGTCATCTTGGTGCCGGATGGGCTGAGCAGCTCAGAGTGAGTTTGTGTCCAGCTCCGAGTGCTTGGGTAGAAATCAGATGACATGCAGCTTAAGGCTGAGTTTGTGTTTAATTAGGAGATTATCTCAAATCTGAAATGGAGCCACTTTGAAGTGTGTGAACTGAAGCTAGAGAGACTCCCACCAACCCCTGCAATCAGTTTCACTCTGCATTTATTTGCCGAGGTGCTCAGTTTGGGGTGAGAGGTGCAGCTTGGCTGCCACAGCTGGACTTCTCTTTTTGGGTCCATGTTTTCTCTCAGTCTGCTGCTCCAGTCTGTAAGCAGATCAGCTGCACTGGAACCGTACTGCTCCGCTCCCCCAGCAGCACGCCAGGTCCGAGAGGTGTCTGGCTGTAATGAAATGAGCTGACTGGCACTTTAGTGCTCCCCTGTGTAGGAGCGTCTTAGGAGTAAGACACTTAATTATTATTAACGTTCTAATTGGCCTGTGCAAGTGCAGATGTGCGTGGAAGTGCTGCCTGGCTCTCTGTACCGTGTGCATCCCGATCCCACTCCAAACCACGCCGAGCCCCATGCTTTTGCAGTCCCTATCTGTTAACCTTCAGCTGTTTCCAGAAGCCAAACCACAAACAGACTAAATGTGAAGGGAGGGGAGAAGAAAGCAACTGTAATAAAGAAACATTAACAGGAAAAGTACATCTTGGTAAGGTCTCCAGATAAGAACGCTAAGAATCGTTGTCTCTGAGCATTGTCTGCAGTACAACATGTCCTCCCTATATGCTGGCACAGCTAAAGCATACAGGACATTAGCTCTTAATGGGAAACATTAGGTGTTTAAATCAAGAACATTTTTCCACCACACGAAATTCTGTCAGGTGACTGCTGCAAGCCTTGAAGGCTCTGCTCCCAGAAGTTCCTTCTTTGTTAGAGGCTTGCCACCTAGTGCTGCGCTTCGGTACTGCTCTCCGCGTCCTATTGCCGGCCTCACTGCTGGAAAAGCTGATTCTTAGAATTGCTTATTTGATGTAAGTGGCAGTTACTGCACGCATGGACTGTTTTGCTTTTAGAACAATATTTGGTCTGAGACAAGCAGCAGTGCTTGCTGTTCCAGCTGCTTGTGCTGACAAACTGCATCCAAACGGGGTTGTTGTGTGTGGTGTCCCTTTACCCCACTTTGCCAGAGAAGCAGCCTAAAAATGGATGGCCATCATTCATAGCAGGGTGCTGCCTTAGCGTGAAACTGCAAATGACAGTCAGTTCTGCAGGGTACAGAGATTTTTTTGATGCGTCCACGATTGTCTGGCAGAGAACAAACATTATTCTAAAAAACTCACACTTTAGAAAAACATAAAAGAAATGGGCAAATTAAAATAGTTTCCTTTGTGCTCAGGCCATCTTTCTGAAAGACATAATCTGATCATTCAACTGTATTTACAGCTGTCCCCTTCTGGTGAGTTATTATAAAAGCAGAAGCAAGATCCTTAGCTTCCTGTATCTGCACTTAATTTAGCATTAACATAAAAACCATCCCATTCTTCTACAGTGATTTCTTCCACCTTTCTCCTGCTTAAGAGCAGCATCTCACACCACGAGTTGTTTTGCCAGAAATCAGTAGGACAGCTGTCCTTACGGTGAAGTTCCTGGTGCCACAACCTGACCCAAAGTTATTTTGCTAATGGAGAGCTCTGCTTTGGCAGTGCCACTTCCCTATGTTGAGCTTGGGCTGCATGGTGCTGAGTGGCTACAGCTCCCAGCAGAGCTGGTTGCTGTTCAATACGCTTTGCATCAGTCCAGGCTCTGCTCATCATGTTTATTTGACAGGCAATAACCTTTTTATTGAACCCAGCACATTACACTGATGATCCACCCTTCAGCAAATACGATTGTAATAATCACTTGGTATTTATTTAACAGCCAATTGCTGTCTTTTGAGAAAGAGTCAATTTACATAGTTCCAAATTACAATTAATACGTTTTCTAATGGTTATTTAATAAAGGCAGACATGGAGGAGTAGCATATTGGTGAGAGGTGAGGACATGAGATGGGACTTCATTCTGCCACTGCCTCGCTTGGTGACCTTGGGCAAATCACTTTGCCGCTACATGCTTTTATTTATTTCCTTGTAAAACTGGTATAATAATAGCCCGGTGCCATGAAGCCTAATTACTGTTTGTGAGGGATTTTGACCTCTCAAGCAAGGAGCTGTGTGAGTTATACTATAGCCAGCCCATTGACCCTGAGTGAAGGAAACGTATGCAGCTGTTTATCTAGAGGAATGTCGAGACAGAAATGCATTTTGGGCCAGTGAAGTATCTTTCATTAAAGAACACCTCCCTCCTACGCGCTCCACCAAATGTCAGAGCTTCCTATTGCTCTGAAGTACAAAGTCTAATTTTCTCTGTATGAATGCATTCAGGAGCCCAGCCAACTCCTGGATATTGGTTTCATTGGCTAATTGATGAGGCGTGGAGGGATTTTCTCTAATGCCGAACTTGGGCCTTCCCCATGTTGTAGCGTCAGACTCTGAATCCTTGTCCTGTTTCTTCCCTCCCCCTCTCCTGCTCCTCCTTAGGAAATTTAAAGCACTTCAGAGAGAGGACTAGATTTGTAATAAGTTACTTTAATTGGATTTCTTTTTTTTTTTGTATTGGTATGCACAGGTTATCTTTAAATGATTTACGGACGTACTGCCAAGCACTGCTCATTTAACCTCCTTCCTTCTCACTTGTATATGGATTCTTCTAACAATACTGGCAAACAATCTCTTAGAGAACATGCAACACATTTCTGCAATGAACATCCCAAACAAAAGCTAGGAGACACTGCCATTTCAAAGACTGTGCTCCATCCTACAGGTTGGGGCACTGAGGCTCAAATCTTGGTGGGCACCCCTCACTGTGGGACACTTACCCACCCCCTTCCTGGGAGGATAAAAGGGAATCCAGGGGTTTCTTTTCTGCCTTTTTCTTTCTTTCTTTCTTTTTTTCCCTGTGATCGTTGAGCCACTCCGACATGAATTTATGTGTGTAATCATCTGTGTTGTAATTGGCAGCCTGGCATATGAGTCACTAACCAAATTAACTGAAGTTTCCTTTGGGGAAAAATGTAATCAGTTACTACACTGAGATACATTGCAAGAAATTAACTCTTACTGTTGGTGGGGGTTGGAGCTGGCTGGCTGAGGGTTTCCTTCCCCAAACCAAATGGGAGCCAATGGGGGAAGGGGACGAGAACAGAGAAGGGGAAAAAGCCCAGAGGGTGGAAGTATCTGGGAAGTCATTTCCAGTATTGTCTACCCGAAGAGTTAAAAAATCACAAATAAGACCCATCTCAAACCATGAGTTTTGTTTTTTTTTTTAAATTAGTAAGATGGGAAAATAATTTTTTGCTTGTTTAGGAGCTATAAGCCTCTGGAGCTCCAGTCTGTGACTGTTTGCAGTCCAGATTATCAGACATTCACTTTCTGTGCTAATGAAGGCTGAGATGTGATCTCGTGATTCAAGAAGCTGGAGCTTTAAGAAAAAATCCACTATTGCAGAACTAAGACTTAATTGGTCATAGTTAGCATTACAGCACTTGATTGTTTTTCCTCTGTACTGAAATCTATTGAGAGCCCAAATATAAGCAGCACTCTGTAAATGACTGATCTTTTTTTTGTTGTGCTGGATGAATCAAAACACTAAGAAAAGTTTTGTTTCAAATCAAATGAAATATTTTATCTGAGCTGAAATGAAAGCTTCATGTTCAAAGCTCATTTGCTTAAAAAATATCAGATATTTTATTTTTGAATAAAATGCCCTCATCTCACTGTGTGTGTTTTTCTACAAGCCTGGTACAGAATTCCATTTGAGCCTGGTTACAGCTGTCTGAAAACAGATGTCTAAAAAGGTCATACTGGCCCACCTGAAAGGCTCCAGTCCTGTGGGTGACTGAGATGGTGAAACTCACAGCTATTAAGTGATAATCCCTATGTATTGGTCACAAGGGCCCAAATATACAACCATGGAGATGCCACGATCTTAATTTTGATCTCTAAGTGTTGATATTGTTTGTTTGTTTGTCTTGCTACTGCCTGAGGACTTTTCCTTGGTGAAATATTGGTAGAAGGTATGTAAAACCAGATGCGCAGTAATGCATCGAGGAAGGAGGAAAATGGTACCTGAGGGACCAAGGCAGCTTTCAGAAGGACTTTCTGGGAAGTCTAAGTGCTCTTGCCTGAACAGGTAAGATTTGTAGTGTCTTCTGTGTAGGACTGAGCTTGGTCAGTTAGAGAAAAATGGTGCATGGTGTCTGGTGGGAGAGAGCAGAGGAAGGCTGTTTGAATATGTTTGAATATGATGGGCAAAATCTGCAATTTAGACATGAAAAACCCATACTGATCAGTGAATGCACTGACACTCCTGGAGGGAAAACAGGAGGTTAAAAACTCTTGGCCCATTCTTTCTCCCTCGGAAGTCAATCACTCAGTGCAGTGTAGATTGTCAGGATAAATTATGACATCTGCTACATGGCAGCCTCTCATTTTAACCTTAAACTGCCTCCACAAAGACTCTCAGAAGAGGGCTGTAGGTGCATATGGTTTTTGTTTCTTTGTTTATTTCTTTGTTTATTTCTTGCATAAATATAGCACAAGTGTCTTAGTACCACTGCAATTCTTTGGCACGACTCTGTGGCTTCTGACTACATTAGCATTTCCTTTTTCTTTTATCTCCTTCATTTTTATTTTTCATATATTTATTTTAATAACTAGAACAATCTATTTCTGCAGCTGGAGGAGTGCAAAATTCAATTTATCTCACAGAACACCTAAAATTAATTCACGCAGAAAGGGGGTGGTGGAAGATTTAGGTCCTGACTGCAAGCTTTTGACTGGAGTCATTTGTCATTTTGCTTCACGGATTGGAGCAATGAAGGTTTTATAGTGTAAGTCTTTAGAGTGACAGAGCTGCATGGGATTTCACACTGCTGTGTCAGGATTTCCTTTTGCGGGCCTTCATAAGCAGCCTATACAAATTCACATCTGCTTGAGCCTGGTGTGGAGAGGAGCTGGATTGGACACAACCCTTCTGTCTTTGATACTTGGCCTCTGCATTGCTTGTGCTCTGCCAGTGGCTAGAAGTTGTTACAGTCCTTGTGCACATGGGATGTTCATGTGAACTTCTCAGTGGTCTGCCTCAGTTCTATGAAATGGTCACTGCTCTGGTATTGCTGCAGAAATCAGAACAAATCGCTGCCTGGAGTTGAGCTTGATGTTGTATTCATTCAGATCTATGATCAGAGGTTGGATAATCCTTTGTAGGAGCTGGATGCTCTCTACCTCCTGCTGGCTGATTGCGCTTTCAGATGCTACAAAGCTTGATAGGGAAAAGCAGTGCTGGGGGCAAGAAGCAGTGTCAGTGGAGTCAGGACTTACTGATGGTAGCAGTGGGCTGGGCATATCTTCAAGGTACGTGCTGTCAGAAAACCTCATGGGCAGAAGGCTTGGAAGGACCAGGCAGTAGGGCTGGCATGCAGAACCTCACCAAAATGCCCTTTCAGTGGAAAGGGTCATGCACAGAATATGAAGGCTGTGATGTGGGGGTGCTTTAAGGCTGCTGAGGCAGTGGGGAGAGCTGTGTGAGCAGGTTCCTGGTCCATCCAGTTACTTTCCACAAGTCCCTGCTTGTCAACACCATTTTTCCAAAGTTATTTATCTTGCTGTCTTCTGCTGAGTTCTTTTGGATCCAAATGAACTGCATTCATTCACACCTGCCATGTAACCCAGCAATACTGTACTGAGTGAGTAGGCTTCACTGCTGAGAGCTGTGTTTCAATGCAGTGCGAATCTATGCTCATCTCTGCTTCTCTCTCAGAGAAAGAGAAAGCAGGGAAGCAAGGCTTTGCAGAGACAATGGGAGAACCAGAGTGGCTTCAGAGACCTTCTTTCTCCCCATCGTTTTCACAGACCTACTGCTCACCTTGGAGCAGTGATGGCAGGGAATGCAGAACAGCAGTTGTTTGCTTCATAACATCACAGAACAGCTGAGCTTGGCAGAATCTCTGGGTCCATCCGAAAGAGCTGGGCAGCAGCCAGGAGATGCTCAGGAATGGTCCCTTACTATTACAGCCTCTGTTGTGTTGCAGCTTTCAGCCTCTCCAGCTCTTTCTAGTGTTTGCTTATCAGGATGTGCTGAGGGGAGAGGGACACACCACTTGACCCTGCATGGAGTGGCTGTCCATAGCCCTGCTGCTTCTATCTCCCAGTGCTGTGTGAAGTTAGTGTTACACCAAAGCTTCGGAAGGATCTTTGAAATGTGTTATAATCGAAGTAAGGCAAAAGTGGCATTTGGTGTGGTATAAATAGTGCATAAATATCCTTCTTGCTGTCTGCATTGAGGTGAGTCTCGTCTCCAGAGCTTCCAGTGTTTTTATTGCTTTTATTTTTCTTCCCAATACTGAATTGTGAAGAATTACCTGGGCACTTTCTGCATCTTGCCAAAGAAACTCAAAATGGCTTTCAGAGGTTCATTTCAGATGGATTTTCAGTGCCAATGAAAGAAGAGATGGTCTTTTTAAAGAATGCAATTTATTTTACCCACTTTCATCCTGAATGGATGAAATGGGCCATTAGCTGCCAACTGAGTGGTAAACACATAACTGGTGATGGTACTGCCTACATCTTGGATCCACTTTCTCCCCTCCAAAAGCTCTTCCCTTCTCTCTAGCTATGGTTATGAGCTAGTAAACCTCTCTTAACTCTTTTTCAGTAGCAGAATTAACTTCCTTCTGTTAATGTTACAAGTGCTTCAGGCAAAAGAGCTTTATTCTGTTGCACCTCCTTTGGGATGCCTCCTTTACAGCCTTGAATAGGTTGAATGACAAAGCAGTCATTAAAACAACTGTTTGAAGATCATTTACCAAGAAAGAGTAGTCACATAGCGAAGTCACTGGGGAAGAGGAAGGCCTAAATTCGTATCTCCACTCTTTAGCAGTTTCTTGGCAAGGCCCTGGAATGTGCAATCTCTGGTTTTCCTGACCTTCATCTTTTTTGTAGCAACTTATTCCTCTCGAAAAGGCTATCAGTGAGCTGTGCTGGGTGAATAGCAGTGGAAAATGTAGTCCTCTATCTCCCTGAACTCTAACTCCTTGTTTGTGAAGTAGGACAGAACACTGCTTCCTTGTGCACTGTCAGCCCCTTGTTCAGAGAGGGAGACCTGATCTCATTTGGGAGTGTAAAATATAATACAAATATATAATATAATATATAATCTGCAAACAGATGTCAGGGCTTTCTAATCTATTGTCCACGGGTCCTTGCAATTTCATAGCTAACTGGTATTGGTAGAGACTGCAATCTCATACTCAGCTCTGTAGGTCACGTTTATGTGGAAGTCTCATTGAATTTCTGCACAGTTAGGAGGTCTTGAGGAATAACCTGAGCCCGTTTTACTTAGCAGTGGAGTAGGTTGCGAATAGGTATGCTGTTGAAGCATTTATTGTTTTTCAACTTAAGTCATGGTTTTGTATAAATAATATATGTAGCTAGTCAATGCTTGGGAAATGCATTCTTTTCCTTGTGAAATATTTATGGACATCAGTGCCTACTTAGTATCCAGTCAACTTGGAGAATACAGTTCGAGTAAGAAGGCTTGGTTGCCTTTAATATCTTGGATGGGACAGACTTTCTAGCTGGAAGGTACTGCATATCTGCCATTTTATCTATCAGCTCCTCCTTCCCTCTCCTGGGACTTCAAATGGACAGCATAGAGAATGAAATCCTCTGCTATGCTGAGGGACAGGCTCTGTATGAACAGTAGTAAGGCTGCTTTCTTTTGTGCCTGCAGACAGCCTCTTGGAGAAGAAGCAAAGAGTCTATTCAGGTCTGACTCAGTCCTGAGCTGGCCAAGGGCAAACCTGGTAATGAGAATAATTCATTCTACAAGTGAGGTCTCTTGGGATTGCCATTTGCAGTCAATCAAAATGATGTGAATAGTTTCTATAACATATTACAACCTCTGAAATACTGTCACTTTCCATACACAGTGCATTTTATCCATTCAGACACAGTGCATTTTGCCCATTGTGGAATTCCCAGCTGTGACTTCTGCATTTTTCAAGTCTGCAGAATGGAAATGATATGGGACAACTGGTATAATAATTCCATGGGGCATACATAGTAGTGCTTACCTGAAGTCTTTCTAGCTTGTTAAGAGGTGGCCTCAGTCTTTACCTTAGATGATATTTCAGTCTTTAGATTCACTGTTGGAAATCTCATCCCTTTTGTCACATTCTTTGACCAGAAAACCAGAAGTCTTTGTATGGGAGGGGTATGTCCACTTCTTTGAAGTCTGATTTTTTTTTCAATAAATCAGCATGCCAGTCTCTGAACATGATTCAGACACATGAGGTGGGCAGGCACATGGGAGAATTTGAGCTTTTTGTTGGCAGCCATAAAGGAGAGGTGGCCAAAAATCTTCTGTGATGGAGTTCTAGTCCTGAAAAATCCACCCAGATTTGCAGATCTGTTTGAACTGACTCAAACCATCTTAACCACTTACCAAGTAATACCATTTTTGTCCAGTTCTGACTCCTACAGGCTGCAGGGAGATGTGCTTTGTGCTGACTGATGGAAAGGAGCTTTTGTGATGCTTGCTGCAGATCCTGCTCTGTTGGCCTATGATAGATGATTTTCTTTTCTTTGCTTAATAACCAACCCGTGTGTATCTGTCTGAAACTCACACCATTAAAGTCTTAACTCAGCAATCTAAAATGGTTTATTTTTTCATTTTCCTTACCTACATGTCAAAACATAAGCATGAGCTTTACTAATAAATATTTCTATTTTATATGCATATTTTTATGCCATTGTCCCAGTTGTATTTTCAAGGCTAAGGGCTTCAGTATGAGATTCTTCCTGCATGTTTAACAAACAAATACTGAAAAATAAGATATGCTGATGTGGAGATTATTATACATAAATCATTGAAAAATGCTCTTTTTAGAGAAGGGAATCGCAAAAGGAGTCATTGACCTGAATAAAAGAAGCTCAGCCATACTCCAGAGGATTTGCCATTTTGATACACGTTAGTGCTTGCTAACAATTGTAATTTATTAATCCTGCTCTCTCTTCTTTTCCCCTCTCCTTGCACATTCGCTTTTTATTGTAAACAAGAATTGTATTTATTTTCTAAGAGTGTAAATTGATCTTGTGGTCACTGATTACCACTAAAAGCTACTTGGTAGTCAAAACAGCCCCTCAAAAGCCCCATAACCAAAATAGGTAGAACAGCTCTCCTCACTGGATCATTCAATTTTAATATTTTGAAGAGAAAAAGCAGCATTTGCATCCTGAAACAGAGCCAAGGATATTCTGGACTGATTTGTGGGTCGTAACTCTCTCATGGTCTGTTTGGAAACAGAAGCTCGCTGCCTAGCGCAAATTGGTGGAGCTCTGCTCCTGCAGATGAAATACTGTTAGCTATGCTGATGGATTCCAGGATATAGATTGGTGATAGCCAGGATTTTTCCTCCTCTCTGGAAAACCAAGATGCCTTGTTTGATTTTAAGTGGCAGTTGAACACTTGGAAACTTCTCCTCATGCTGAGAAACTGGAACTGGAGTCCAGACAGCACAGCGAGGTTGCTGTGTGTTATTGCTTGTTACATCTCTCTTATATCTGCAGTACAGAAGTTTTACTTACAGAGCTGTCAGGTCTCTTATTCTATCCTCAGCATCCCAAAGCTTCCATCCATGTTCAGTATTAGCCAGATGTATTCATATGCATGTACTCACAGATGTTCATGCCTACCTGCACAACAGATGTGATTATTTTTTCTATTACCTCTGCTTTCCAAATGAGGATGCAATAGTTGAGTGTTTTATATCCCAGCAACCAGAACTACATTCTGCAAGAAATCTATAAATAATCCAGGGCTAGGTAATCTTATCAGTAAATATCCAGTTCTAATTTGTAATCACCAGGTGTAGGTCAGAAGCACAAGTTTTCTCTCTCCCAGTACTTCCCGGTTACTGCTAACATTTCCTGGCTTTGCTTCAAACCGAGCTGGAGTCTCAGCACCATGTTTTCTTTCATTTAACAAATGTTGACTTTTTAATAAGATCTGTTTCTTCCTTTGTCAAAATGCTCGGAATTTGTCTAAGGAGTCCTTTTGTACATCGTCCCTGTGGTATGCTGTAAACACACTGGCAGAAGCAATAGAGTACTTAAACCATCCTTACTCCTCAAGTTTCCCCTTCAGCTGCAGCTGTTCTGTTTCTGAAGGTAGATTGCAATATGCCTCTAGCTGCCTTCAAGTTTTAAATCTGACTGAGATGCAGAAGGTGCCATGCAGAGCTGAGTTCTTGCAAAGTCTGGAAATGATTTTTTTCCTCTTTTTTCCCCTCACTTATATTGGTAAGATGAGGTGCCTGTTTGCTAGAATGCTTTTTTCCTTTTCCTCTGCAGTCTATCAATTTTTTTGTGGAAAAAATACTGTCGGGGAAAAAAAGATATGAAATAAGTCATTGTGCAGAGAGAAATAACAAAAAAATATACAGCATATTTGAGTGATACATTTTGGGAAATTCTTACCATGGACACACAAATATCTGACTTTCTAAATAAATTCCTGTATTCTTAGCATTTATTGAATCAGCAGTGCACCCATCTGTTATGTAACGCTAGCAGCTGGTCACCCTTCTCTGTGATGTACAGTTTCCTTTTCTTCTTGTAGTAGTGATAGAATAATGCTATTATTCTTCAGCACCTTTCAGTTAATGTTCCCTTAGGTTGTCATCCAGCTCCCAGTTACTTAAATGTAAATACAGATGGGTTCAGTTCCTAATTTAGAAGAAGAATTAGCTTCGAGCAAAGCATTAATTTATACTGATGGATTAGAAAAGAGCTTCTTTTCCAAATGAAAACTGTTGGACTGGTTAAAGAAACAATTGTCAGCATCGCTCCTCCTATGTGCCCAAGTAATTTCAGGAAGTGGGTTCTCATAATTGGTCTCAGGAAAAGAGAGGAATAGACAAGCCGGGGTTTCACTATCTTCCTCTCCATCACAGGTACGTCTCTGCTCATCTGATAGCTGCAAAGCTGTGGCAAAAGGATCTGTGCAAATATATACACGGGTCCTGTCAGGATATCTCAGAGAGTAGGAATGGAAAAACAAGGTATTAAAGAACAGCCGTGTGCAGAAGGCAAAATGTGAGATCACTGGCACTGCCAGTGTGGTCTCCTGCCATCATTCTTTAAATAATTATTTATTGTAAGGAATATATATATATGTGTGGTTTTTTCTGTCGACAACACACAAGTTTTGGGGGACATATCAAAGAATTTGAGGTCTGGTTTGCAGTCTTGAGGTCAATAGAAAGTATTTCTCATCGTGTATATGTTGGCCATGCTTTTTGAAATGGCTGTGGTGGAAAACCTGAAGTCAGGCAGATGTTAAACATCTGGTATCAAACCAAGGACTCTCTTCTACAGAACGCTGAGTAAAGCTGGCCAGAAAGTGAAACATCTGTTTTAGGAAAAATGTGAAATTTTTAGAATTTTTGTCTGATCGAAATAAAAATAAGACCTCTTGCTATGGAGAGAGCAAGTGAACTTAGAACTTAGAGCTTAGAGTACAGCAAAGCCCAGCTCTGAGGCCATTCCTGTAAGATACGGGAAACCAGGGTTCAATCTATGGTCTACAACATCTCCTTGGCTAGGATCAATGCAAAATTGCTCCCAGTGGATTGGTTTTGACTCAATGAAATCCCATTTCTTGGGGCAGAGGAGAGACTATGCTCCACAACCCAGACATTAGGGCATTCGTAAGGTCTGTGGGAAGACTACGTTAAATCCTTGCCCTGCTTTATTTGGAGTCATCTCAATCTTTCCTGTATCACACAGTATAAATCCACATCACTAGGGAATGTGTTAACCACTGGGCTTCTGGCTGTGCTAGGATCCTTTCCCAATCAGATTTTGACCATCAGCCTTTAGTCAGATTGGAAGATGCTTCCCAGAAGGCATTTTGTTGAAACTGATGTTTCCCACAAAGATTTTTCAGTTCAGAGAGATCAGCATTTTCTGTCCAAAAAAAAAAAAATTGTTGGAAAATTCCTGACTAGCACCACCAGGGCTGAGCACTGTTGAGGTCAACTGACTGCTTGCATCCTTTCTAATGTTTATATCTTTGTATTTCAAAAGAGTTAGAGAGCTGCTCTTCTGGGCAGGAAATTGCAAGAAGGCCAGGGGCTGCATTTAAATAGTGCATTCAACTGTAACTTGCACTGAGTGCAAATTTGAAATAATCTTTATATAGAAGTTGTTGTCTCTACCTACTGAACATGTTGAACCTCCCAGATGCCCAATCTGCCTGCTTTTCACAAAACAGAACATTTCTTTCGTAAGTACCAGAGCCAATACTGTAAAAGAAGAGGTCTGGAAAAAGAAACTTTAGTAATATAGCTCATAAGTTCAGCCCAAATGGACTTTCACTGTCAGATGAAGCCAAACTCGGAATGTATAAGTTAAAAAGGGAGGGGAAGGAGAGATAAGGAGATCAGAGAGTTCTAAACAACTCTTGCATGAGCAGAAGGACAAAGAATGCTAAACAAAGATTTTACTGGCATTAGAAATGTGATGATTACAGGCAGCATGTAGTTGGGGCAGCTCTCTTACTTGGCACATTGCTGCTCGTATTCCTACCTCTGCTGTTGGTCTCTTGAGGGATTCCCAACCAAATAACTTTCCCCTTTCTGCTCCTATTTCCCTTGCAGTAAAATGGTGTCAGTGACGTTTTTGTTGCTTTTGCAAAGTACTTTGAGATCTGGGGACAAAAGGGATATTTTAGTGGTGTTATTCATTCAGCAAGGGATACAGCTGTAAAACTGAAGTTTGAAATCATCCCTACCTTCCTACGCTTCTTTCCTCTTATAGAAGGATTTTTAAAATTATTGTTTCTTTTTCTGTTGGGGAAAACCTACTGATTGTAAACTGATGAACATAGAAAACTCCTCCTACAGTCTTGACTTCTGAGCCAAGTCTCAAACCTTCCCATGGCTTTGTTATCGGATGCAGGTTATGTGCTCTGAAGAGCTGTATTTGGAAAGCAGTGTACAAGTGGCAGATGGTGGTAATCCTCCAGGTGTCCCACTGCAAAATGTTGGGTTAAATGCAAAGCTGGGTCAGAGGCAAGCCATAGGTGCTGGCCTAAGAGCAAGCATCTTTACCCAGCTGGAGCTCCAGTGCACCCAGCACTGACTGCTGCTGGTCACAGTTTATCCTGTCTCTGGCTACCTGTTAACACAACGCAGCATAAAGCCCCAAACTGGTCAGCCATGGGGTAACTCTTACTCACATTGCTCTGTCCTTCAGGTTATCATTGCTTGTGCTTCCTTATGTGGTCTTAGCAGTTAACTATCTCAACACGCAGTGACTGTCCTCAGAAGCTTCTAAGCACAAAATTGTGCTTATTACTATGTTTTGCTCATCAGTACAACAGGACTGAAGTAAATATTCTGTGTGTTAAATAGAAATCATATTTTTTTAAAAGTAGTTTCCTATACACAAGTATCGGCATTCAGGTCACAATAAAAAATCATTTGAATGTCTTTTAGCCCTTATCACCTATTGCATGGGCCTTACAGGCAATCAACAATGCAGTCAAAGCAGCTGTATGTAGTGACTTTGTTTGATTCCTGAAAAGATTTTTCATGACCAAGACAAAGATTGGAACAACTGACTATTCAAGAAATCTCGTTATAGAATGAGATCCATACTCCAGTCCCACAGTTTATTGTCCACATGGATATCCAGCTGAGAAATTCAGCATTGCTTTATCAGCAAAGTTACAAATATTTATGAAGGAACAGAAGTCAAATGGGAAGGATTGTCTAATCCAAGCTATGTATGCTTATAACTGCCCTGAGCATGAAAACAACTGCTTTTTCTCAATTTTTCTTGCTTTATGGGTGGTCTGCAGTGTTATCCATAAATAATCTTTTTTTTTCCTTTTCTTCACTTTGTACAGGATAGAAAGGATAATAACCGTACCAGCTTCACCAACCCATGGAGAGAACAGCTGAAGAGAGCCTGTGAAATTGCTATGATGAATAGCAGAAGAAGGGAAGGTTTCTTGCAGTGAGAGAGATCTGAGCAGCACTTCAGGCTGGAAGGCAAAGTGAGAAAAACCTTTTTTGGATGTAGCTAGGTAGTTTCCTTGGATCATATTAGAAGTCTGTTATTAGAGAATAAGAAACCAAGACGATTTCCCTTCTCTATGCTAGAGAAAAACAAAGAAAAACGAAACGTATTGGGAAACATATCTAGCTTAAGAAAGGCAAACTGAAATGTTATCCCAAAGAAAGAGCTTGAAGTCAATCAAAGAAAAGAAATTCTAAAAAAAAAGCGGTCTGTAGTTTAATACGGACACAGCAGTGAGAATTTTACCTTACAAAATCAATTGCAATTTCTGAAATAGTTCCTCCCTAGCTATATCATAATATCTAATATTCCAACCAGTGTTCTAGTCTGATATGCTAGGCACTATCCATCCTGCCAGCACTGCAGACTGTTATCAATTCCAGATTCAGTCTCCTCAAGACTCACCAAAACAAGCAAACAAACAACAACAACAACAACAAAACAGTTCAAAAGAGTTCAGTCTTCTGACCAATTATGCACCAGACTAGGGCTACAGATTCAATACACAGCAGTCTTTCCTAAATTCAGAGCCACCAGGAACTTCTTTTTCTTCTAGAGATGCATGATCACAGTTCATTAGATTCAAAGGAGCTGCATGAAACTGCTGCATATAAAACTGTCTCAAGTTTTTCCGCAGGAACACTGACACAGAAAATAGTATGTATCTTTCTGTTCAAAATATGTCTTGCCAAGGAGAAGCAAGGCCTGAAACCAGTATTGCTATTTCAAACATGTCAGCATCACTGTTGTTTGGGCTTCATCTCTATGTACAGTAATGGTTACAAATGGTGGCTGGCTGCTTCTTGGGAGCTTAGGAAGCAGTGACCTAGAAATCTCTGCTCCAGAGGCAAGGTTGAGCTGTTCTGTCTGTCAAAGGCATTGATCACATCTATAGCATCCAGGCCTCCATACTGCCTTTAATATCTATAAACACATGATATATAAGTTGACTGACCCTTTTAGCTCCAGATGCCATTGGTAGAAAGGCTTGCTAGGCTTTAATCTATGACTGGTCAGACATCTCGTAAAGACCTCAGGCTGGTTGAACTGTATTTGCTACCAGCAGCAGACTACAGCTCAGCAAATATTAACAGAAGTTCAGTCCAACAGTTCAGCAGTCAAGGCCTGCCATGTGTTGAGATGTTCTTTCCTGATCTATAGCTGTCAATGGTGTGAGTTTACAGTACTGGCCCCCTTCTCCATTTCCCTAATGACAGCTGTGAGCCTCCTATATCAACAAGGTGGCTTAAACCATGACATGATTGGCTTTGCCCATCTCTCTGTACACTTAA